TAATCATGTCACGTGCTGCTTCTACTTAGAATTCCTCTGTTGAAAGTGTGTTTTTTTTAATCATCGTATAAATCTGTGCTATTAAATTCATGTTATAAAAGCTACCGCCCGAACAGGGACTTGAACCCTGGACCCTCAGATTAAAAGTCTGATGCTCTACCGACTGAGCTATCCGGGCTCTCACTTTAAGTGAATTTGTATATGTTACAAAAATTATTATTCACTACTTAATTAGTGTGTATTTACAGTTACAGTTGCTGGGAGCATTGTGGGTGTTGCATCATCAAGGACTGCAAAGAGTCTATTGTCTTAAGTCAGACAGACTCTGCCACCTTGATCAGGGATGAGCTCAGGCACGTTCAGATCCTAGTCTAAACCCCCCTGAGCAAGTCCTTCAAGAAGTTGTCACTGTACTGGCCCAATCATAAGCATTTCTAGTCCCAAAGTCATACTTATACATGCCCAGTACAGGTGACAGCTTGCATGTGGGCTTGCTCACATGGGTTCAGACTAGGATCTGACACACCTGAGGTCATCACTGCTCTTGACTTACTGTAGGAAAAGAGGCAAAACCAAGTCCCTTGTGATTTTCCACGGGACCCTACTGTTGTCCCAGAGTATCCCTTTTAAATTCTGCTGACCATAGCCACATCAACTGACTGAGAGATTTACAGAGCATTTCTAATTGAAGAAACCCTCTCAAAGTATTAACTTTCAGGGCCACCGCAAAGAAGTAGTGCAGCCCTCTTGTGTCAGACCTGGCCCCTAATTCAGCAGGGTGGCCTGGAGACATAGAGAGGACTCCCATCTTCTGGGCACCAGTGTAGTAATGCCACACTCTGCAGCATTGTTCAGCAGGGGGCCAGAGATAAAATAGGGACTATTTCATGATTTTTGATGCAGACAAAGTAATCTGATATGGACGAGGAGGGCAGAACTTTAATTTAATTGTTGAGAACCGCAGTAGCAGGATTACTCCACTGGTGCTCCAGATCATTCATAGTCCTGTTTCTGCCTCCAGCACCTGCTGAACAAATGGGGACTGGGGAAGTGTAGTTGTTTTTAACGATACCACAGTGCTCCGAATTAAGGAGCCCCTCTCTGCCCCTGGGCCCCCTAATAAATTAGTGAGGCCCAGGCCCCATACAGGAGGGATGGCTCTACCCTCTTATAAGTAACCCTGATACCTGCCATTCCCTTTTTAGTTTATGCATTCATGACTCCTTCAATGTTTCTAATATACACTCCTGACCCCTGCAATCTGTACTTTACATAATCCTGCCCCTTGCAATGCGTACTCCTGAACCTTGCATTCTATACATTACATACTCCTCACACTGGCATTCTTTCTGTTACATACTCCTCACCCCTGCATTCTTTCTGTTACATACTCCTCACCTCTGCATTCTTTCTGTTACATACTCCTCACCTCTGCATTCTTTCTGTTACATACTCCTCACCCCTGCATTCTTTCTGTTACATACTCCTCACCTCTGCATTCTTTCTGTTACATACTCCTCACCTCTGCATTCTTTCTGTTACATACTCCTCACCCCTGCATTCTTTATGTTATATACTCCTCTTCTCTGCTTTCTTTATGTTACCCTCCCCCTGCACTCTTTGCATTATGCCCCCCCTCCCTTTAGATTGTAAGCTCCACGAGCAGGGCCCTCCTATTCCTTCTGTACGGAAATGTATTGTAATTGTACTGTCTCCCTTATATTGTAAAGCGCTGCGCAAACTGTTGGTGTTAAATAAATCCTGTATAATAATAATAATAATAATTATGCACTGCAGACTCCTGCATTCTTTGCGTTATGCATTCCTAACCTCTGTATTACGGTGCTTTACATAGACCTGACCTCTGCAATCGGTGCTTTACATAGTCCTGAACTCTGCAATCTACACATTGCATACTCCTGACCTCTGCATTGCACAATCCTGACCCAAGCACTCTATACATTGATTACATAATCTTTACATTGTTAAAACAATTAGTAAGAAATCATCATGGATATTCAGTACAATTTTAGGCATCAATTCACAAAAGAGGGGAAAAAAAATTCTTTTATAAATATTTAAAGGGTACATATAGAGTAGGTGTTCATTTAAAGATTATCGAAAAAGACTATGCACCTGGAGGAGATGAGGATTAACCTTTGCATATAGGAAGTCTTCTTTACAGTAAAATGTGGAAATTTAGAACACCTTCTTCAGGAGTTGGTTCTACCCAACTCTGTAGATTGTTGCAATTTTTGTTACCAAATTCAGACAATATAACTGGCTATTGATATTTATAAGAGAAACATTGTAAAATAGTGACCCAGGGATTATCTGATTACTTCTGATTGTGAGAAAGATTTTTTTTACCTGTTTTAGAGCAAATTTGATCAAGATTTAAAACATTTCTTATTTTCTTCTGTATCAACTGAGGGTTTACGGGTTTGAGACTACAAAGTATTCTGTTTCATTTTATTTTATTGATTTATTTTTGCCTTTTGGTTGAGTATGTATTTTTTTAAACCTATGTAAATATACATATTAAGCCATTCATTAGTAGATTATTGAGTCACTCTCTAAGAACTGCTATGGACCATAAACTTACCTTAAAACCTAAAATACCATATAAGCTTTAGCAAGTTGGTGTAAATGTCAGTCTTTTGAGTATGGAAGTTCAGGCAAAACCTAACTAGGGCTTAACCCAATCCCACCCTCATTCTAAGCCTAATCTATTTTAACCTGTAAAGCAGTGGTCTCCAAATTGCGGCCTGGGGCCCAGATGCAGCACTATGCTTGCTTTTATCTGTCCCTCGAGGTATTATTCCTCCTACTGCAAGCAACAGTGTGGCATAGTTTCTCCCGCTGATATTGACAATGGGGCACTATTCCTCCTATTGACAACAATTATGGGGCACTATTCCTCCTATTGACAACAATTATGGGGCACTATTTCCCCCATTGATATTAACTATGGAGCACTATTTCCTCCCATTGATACTAACAATGGGGCAGTATTTCTCCCACTGACACCAACAATGGAGCACTATTTCTCCCATTGATACCAATGATGGGCTACTATTTCTCCCATTGACACCAATGATAGGGCACTATTTTTTCCATTGATACTAACAACGGGGCACTATTTCTCCCAGTGATACCAATGATGGGGCACTATTTTTTCCATTGATACTAATGATTAGGCACTTTTCCTCCCATTGATACTAACGATGGGGCACTATTTTCTTCCATTGACACCAATGATGGGGCACTATTCCTCCTATTGACAACAATGATGGGGCACTATTTCTCCTATTGAAACCAAAGATGGGGCACTATTCCTCCTCTTAATACCAATGATGGGGCACTATTCCTCCTCCTAATACCAATGATGGGGCATTGTTTACTCCCACTGATGCCAGGACATTTTCTTCTCCCACTGGCAACAGTCCAGTCCCTCTAAAGTTTGAAGGACAGTAAGCCCTTTGTTTACAAAGTTTGGAGACCCCTGCTGTAAAGAAATCACCTGTATACTTACCTATTCTGAAGCCACACCAGTCCGGCCACATGGTCTCTCAAGCAGCAGTTTCTGTGCAGAGGAGACATAGCTGACAATGTCTGGAAATGTCTGGGAGATGACATCATCCCTAGACTTACTATGACGCATCCATTGTTGGTTGCCCCTCATCTACACAGAAGCAGCAACTGTCCATGGAACCAGACTGGAGTGTCTTTAAAATAGGTAGGTATACAGAACGTTTCTTTACAGGGTTAGAGAGATTAGGTTTAGAATGGGGGTGGGAGTACGTTTGGCCTTAGTTAGGTTTTTCCTGGGCTTCCCCTTTTTTTTGGTACTAGGAGTGGGGTACGAGCCCATGCAGACATAAAGTATGTCCATTTGATATTAAGTTAGCAGCTTTAATTAAAATAAATAAATGCGTTGTGATCCTGCCATGAAGATCATTCTTCAGGCACTTCCTTTTAAAGCATGACAATGCTCTGTTCCTTTTCCCAATTGTCCTCCTACATTATCACCTTGTCATATGGGCTTCTGATGGAACCTACAAGTAGCCTTTATAACTCATATTGCACAGACATGTTCCACTGTTAGCATCAAGAAACCTGCATTAAAAAAATTTCCAGGCATGTTCACGGGATATGCAATAGCTAATAAGATGCAATGCTTTAGACAACTACCTATCATCCAGTTAGGGTTTACATCTACTTTCCTGCAAAGCCAAGCCTTTTTTCAGTTTTAGGTAAACTGCGAAAGGGTTTTTATTGCTGCGTATGTTCCTGCTGGCGATATTCTCAGTTGGGCTTCTTTCTGAAAGGTGGTACTGCCTACCACCCTCTAAAAAGAGATATCTGGTGGATCGCTTATCAGAGGGCAGAAGGGCAGCAGCTGACAGGTGTTCCGGAGGTACTACAACTACCTCCTGAAAGCCTTTTTTTTTAATTTAAATTGCAGAACGGCAGTTATACATTGTGGGAAAATGCTGCAACTGTGAGATGAGTCTTCGGTTCACAGTTGTGGTGCAAGCCTATTGAACCCAATGGGCAATTTTGGTAGGTGGTGTTGCCTATCAAACCAGTGGCATCGCTATGGGGGTGCAGGGGGTGCAGACTGCACCTGCCGCTGCCAGGCCATACTCAGCTGTGAATTAGTGCTAGTTATCTGCTCTCTATGCCAGGATTGGTTGCCTGAAGCATTGCTCAGTCCTTTTATCTCCCCAGGTATATAGGCCACCCTGGATGCCTCCAAGTCTTCATCCTACAAGAGGATCTTCGGGGGGAAACCCCAGGTCCAGCTCCTCCAGCAGTCACTATTTCACCTCTAGCAGCAAGTACTCCCTGGGCAGTACTTTGTGCTTCAGCGGTGGCGGTAGTGGCAGCGGTGGTCCGTCAGACAGCAGGGTGGTTTGCACCATCTCCTGCCAGTCTACAAGTCCTCCTCAGTCAAGCTGAGGAGCAGTTTCCCCCCAGCCCAGCTCCAGGACACCATGGACTTCACACTGGCAGATGCCATCAACCTTGAGTGCAAAGCCAACAGGACCAACACGAAGACTGAGATGCAGGAGCTCAATGACAGGTTCTCCAACTTCATAGACAAGGTCTGCTTCTTGGAGCTGCAGAATAAAATCTTGTTGGCCAAATTGGAGCAGCTGAAGGGCAAGGGTATCTCCAGGGTGGGGGATCTGTATGAAGAGGAGAGGAGGGACCTTTGCAGGCAGGTGGACCTCCTCACCAATGAGAAAGAACGTGTGGAAGTGGAGAGGAACAACCTGGGTTCCTCCAAAGGCCTATCGCCGGGAGGAAGGCAGGGTGACACCATATATTACTGCACCAGGTGACACCGACCCTAGTGACGCTACTGTGTCAAACCCTGCACAGTTAAAAATGCAGCGGAAGCAATTCCTTGTTTCTCTGTACAGCATGTGCACAGCACTGTTTAGTTGTATTGTTACAATTCGGGTTGGTGGCTGGTGGTTTCAGCAGCCTGTTTTTAACATTCCCCTGCCGCCTGTTTGAAAGAGCCCATACTATTTGTTCTGGTGGCATTTGTCTGAGAAGGAAAATTTACTCAATTTGGAGATACTTCCTCTTACTTCCTTATATGTCTCTGGGATAGGATATGAAAGTAAATCTTTCTGATGGGCGATAGACAGAAAACCCCCCAAAAAATGAAAGGGGTCATAAGCATTTGATACTCTATACAGAATTTCAAAAAAAGTTTTGGGTTTGCATAAACTCTGTATTAAACTTGTGCTAAGGGAGCACAGAGGCTGCCAGTGCCAACCTCTCTTCTGAAAATACTAGTTCCCTGGCTATCATGTTGATGCAATGGTTCAATTGATTTACTAAAAGCAAATGGACTGTGCACTTTACAAGTGCAGTTTCACTGCAAGGAAATTTGCTCCAGAGCTTAGTAAATGTGGTGAAGCTTCACTTTGCAAAGAATACCCAAACATGTGCAAGGAAAATGAAAAACAGCATTTTTGCTTGCACGTGATTGGATGAGGGAAGTCAGTAGAATGTCCCCACGTTTACTAAGCTCTGGAGCAACTGCTTTTGCAAAGTGCACAGTCTATTTGCCTTTAGTAAATCAACCCCACTGACTTTAAACAAGTGTGCAGATCAGGTAATATGATTTGTTCAGTGAAGCTGGAGACAGCCAGACAACTGAGCACTGACAGCCTCCTTACTCCACTCAGTACAGGTCTCCTTTTCCTTTCTATAACATGATTCTCTAGTTCCCGTACCACTCTTATCCCTCCCACACTATCATAACCTCTGTTTGTCTTATTAGAACACTTTGCCCATCTTCACTCTATCTCTCACCCATTCTGTCCAGAACTAAAACATTCTCATCTCACTCAGGGTAAAAAAATTCCCCCATCCACCTTATTACCAATCAACTTCCTTCCCTCTATTGTTTCCACAAAGTTTGCGATAAGTGAGAGAGCTTTACAAACTTGTCTTAAAAATCACTCTCTTGCTGCACTGAGATTTACACTGCTGCCCGATGGAGCTCTGCGTTCTCTGGACCTTGGCCAACATATTTGTTTTCAGCGTTCCACAAGTATACGGTAAGTCTCATATTTAAACTAAATGTGTTTAATGTAGACAGCTTGCTATGAGTGAGAATATTTTAGTGTTGTTTTTTGCTTTATGTTTTTAGCTGACATGGATACATAGTGAATGAATGTGAGAGTATGTACTCATGGACACAAAACATGGCTCCATACAGTGTGGTTGCAGCATTGCGACCACCACGAGCTCATCTGCTTCTATAGGAATTTATTCAAGAAGGAGTTCATCTTCTACAGACATTCACACAGGCAGAAATGCAGTACTTCCATGGTCACATCCAAGTCTATTTCTTGTGTAATCTGCATTCTTGATGCATGGAAAAAAAACAAGACATAATAATTATATATATATATATATATATATATATATATATATATTTATATATATATAAAAACATATACTGTGTATACACACTGATCAGCCTTGACATTATGACCACCCACTAAAACCTATCAAGGCATGGACACCACTAGACCTTTGAAGGTCTGCTGTGGTATTTGTCAACAGGTCATCAGTAGCAGATTCTTTAAACTCTGTAAATTGGTAGGTGGGGCCTCCATGGATCAGCACATCCCACAGATGCTCGACTGGATTTAAATCTGGAGGATTTGCAGACCAAGTCAACACCTCAAACTCGTTTTTGTGTTCCTCAAACCATTATTTAAGTCATCAGATCAGGCCACCTTTTTCCATTGCTTCATGGTCCAGCTCTGATGCCCATGTGCCCATTGTAGGCATTTTTGGCTGTGTAAACCAGTCAGCATGGGTACCCTGACCAGTTTGCAGCTATGCAGCCACATACACAACAAACTGGGCTGTGCTGTGTGTTCTGGCACCTTTCTATTGCAGCCAACGCTAACTTTTTCAGCAATTTGAGCTACAGTAGCTCTACTATTGGATCAGTTTACACAGACCAGCATTCGTTCCCCACAAGCACAAGTGAACCTTGGCCACCCAAGACCCTGTAGGTGTTCACCAGTTTTCCTTCCTTGGACTACTTTTGGTAAGTCCTGACCACTGCAGACTAGGAATATCCCACAAGAGCTGCAGTTTTGGAGTTGCTCTGACCCAGTCATCTAACCATTACAATTTGGCCCTTGTCAAAGTCACTCAAATCTTTATGTGTGCCCATAGTTGCTGTATTCAACACATGAACTTCATTGACAACATGTTCACTTGCTGCCTAATATATCCCACCCACTTTCACGTGCCATTGCAATTAGATAATCATTGTTATTTACTTTAACTGTCAGTGGTCATAATGTTATGGCTTATCAGTGTATAAATATAAATGTATAAAATATATATATATATATATACTTTAATGGCATTCCAGTCTTAGTTCGTAGGGTCCAATATTGAGTTGGCCCACCCTTAGTAGCTATAACAGCTTCAGCTCTTCTGGGAAGGCCGTCCACAAGGTTTAGGAGGGTGTCTATGGGAAGGTTTGACTATTCTTCCAGAAGCACATTTGTCAGGTCAGGCACTGATGTCGGGGGAGGAGGCCTGGATCACAGTCTCCACTCTAATTCATCCCAAAGGTGTTCTATCAGGTTGAGGTCAGGACTCTGTGCAGGCCAGTTAAGTTCCTCCACCCCAAACTCGCTTCTCCATGTCTTTATGGACCTTGCTTTGTGCACTGGTGTGCAGTCATGTTGGAACAGGAAGGGGCCATTCCCAAACTCTTCCCACAAAGTTGAGAGCATGAAATTGTCCAAAATGTGTTGGTATGCTGACACCTTAAGAGTTCCCTTCACTGGATCTAGGGGACCAAGCCCAACCCCTGAAAACCAACCCCACATTATAATCCCCCCTCCACCAAACTTTACATTTGTCACAATGCAGTCAGGCAAGTACTGTTCTCCTGGCAACCGCCAAACCCAGACATAGACAGACATAGAAGCATGATTCATCACTCCAGAGAACGCATCTCCATTGCTCTAGAGTCTAGTGGCAGCGTGCTTTACACCACTGCATCCAACGCTTTGCATTTCATTTGGTGATGTAAGGCTTGGATGCAGCTGCTCGGCCATGGAAACCCATTCCATGAAACTCTCTGTGCACTGTTGTTGTGCTAATCTGAAGTGCCCAGTTACTGCAGACACCGTTTCACCAAGAATTTTCCACCCAGCTCCTTTGACAAAAGTCAATTGAATAATCTGGATGGAGACAACATGACCACCTATAGAACAAATTTAAACTGATGCAGCAGGAATTGTGCAAAATTCAATCAGCATATAGCCAGCTTTTTACTCATGAATGTACCACCCATCCATGGTTCACCTGCATGCACAGACTACTACTTATGCTCTGAATATGAAGTGTGGTTTGCTGTGGAATATATGATCCAGCAACCAAAATGTATCTGTCTAAATAAAAAAATAGATTTTCTCTAATATCCTGGGGTATATCTAACCTCAGTTAGAATGTTTAAATGTGCACACAATGTAGGAATAAATCAGCAACAAATGCACATGACTACCAGAAAAGGGAACTGTAAAAAAGAAAACAACATTTTTAAACAATTATAGACAAAAGTTCATGAAATCTCAAAGTACTTATTTTGATGTAATCTACTTTCAGGTCCCAGTAATATATATAAATTATGCTGTACCCATTGAGGGCCCATTCACATCATATGCATTAGGATGCAGTGGGGTGGCAACCCTGCCCATTTCAGTCCAAAGCAAATTGCCTAGAGTCCTTAATCCTGACCCCTGACCTCTGTGTGTTATGTACACCTAACCCCTGAACTCTGCGTTACTTATTCCTGCCCCCGAAACTCTGTGCGTTACTTATTTCTGACCCCTAAACTCTGTGCGTTACTTATTCCTGACCCCTGACCTCTGTGTGTTATGTACACCTAATGCCTGAACTCTGTGCGTTACTTATTCCTGACCCCTAAACTCTGTGCGTTATTTATTCCTGACTCCTGACCTCTATGTGTTATGTACACTTAACCACTGAACTCTGTGCGTTAATTATTCCTGACCCCTGCACTCTGTGCGTTACTTATTCCTGACCCCTGACCTCTGTGTGTTATGTACACCTAACCCCTGAACTCTGTGCGTTACTTATTATGACCCCTGAACTCTGTGTGTTACTCCTAATCCTAGACCTCTGTGTGTTATGTACACCTAACCCCTGAACTCTGTGTTCTGTACACCTAACCCCTGAACTCTGTGCGTTACTTATTCCTGACCCCTGAACTCTGTGCATTGCTCCTAATCCTTGACCTCTGTGTGTTATGTACACCTAACCCCCAGAACTCTGTGAGTTACTTATTCTGACCCCTGACTTCTGTGTGTTACTCCTAACCCCTGACCTCTGTGTGTTATGTTCACCTAACCCCTCACCTCTGTGTGTTATGTACACCTAACCCTTGAACTCTGTGTGTTATGTACACCTAACCCCTGAACTCTGTGCGTTATTTATTCCTGACCCCTGAACGCTGTTCGTTACCCCTAACCCCTGACCTCTGTGTGTTATGTACACCTAACCTCTGAACTCTGTGCATTACTTATTCCTGACCCCTGACCTCTGTGTGTTATGTACTCCTAACGCCTGAACTCTGTGCGTTACGTATTCCTGACCCCTAAACACTGTGCGTTACTTATTCCTGACCCCTAAACTCTCTGCGTTACTTATTCCTGACCCCTGACCTCTGTGTGTTATGTACACTTAACCACTGAACTCTGTGCGTTAATTATTCCTGACCCCTACACTCTGTGCGTTACTTATTCCTGACCCCTGTGTGTTA